GAGTGAGTATCTCTGCAGGGGGAGTATCACCGCAGGGGGAGTATCACTGAGGAGGGAGCATCATTGCAGGGGGAGCAGCACTGCAGGAGAGTATCTCTGCTGAGGGAGTATCATTTCAGGGGGAGTATCACCGCAGGGGGAGTATCTCCACAGGGGGAGTATCACCGCAGGGGGAGTATCACTGCAGGGGGAGTATCACTGCAGGGGGAGTATCACTGTGGAGGGACCATCATTGCAGGGGGAGCAGCACTGCAGGAGAGTATCTCTGCTGAGGGAGTATCATTACAGGGGGAGTATCTCTGCAGGGGGAGTATCACTGCAGGGGGAGTATCACTGCAGGGGAGCAGCACTGCAGGGGAGTATCTCTGCAGAGGGAGTATCACTGCAGGGGGAGTATCACTGCAGGGGGAGTATCACTGTGGAGGGACCATCATTGCAGGGGGAGCAGCACTGCAGGAGAGTATCTCTGCTGAGGGAGTATCATTACAGGGGGAGTATCACCGCAGGGGGAGTATCTCCACAGGGGGAGTATCATTACAGGGGGAGTATCTCTGCAGGGGGAGTATCACTGCGGGGGGGAGTATCACTGCGGGGGGAGCAGTCACACTGTATGGGGGGTAGGGGCAGGGGCTGTGAGGAGGGGGGAGGGCCGCTGACCACGGGGCCGGTGATCGCGCTGCCACTGCCACTGACCCGGGAGCCCTGACTGGGTCCCTGGCGCGGGCAAGTGCATGAGGGCCGGGGGGCCACGCGCCGGCAGCCCCCCCCCCCGCCCGCCCCTCCTCTTCCCAGCACCCGCTCGCTCCTCCCTGGCCCCGTTTCCAGCCCCTCTGGGCGCCCGGTCACCCGCTCCTGGCGCGGAGGCCCCGCCCCCTCCTGCCCGGTCCGTCAGTCCGTGGCGCCGTGGTTAACGTGTAAGCAGGTGTAACGGTCAGCGTCTGGGCAGCGGGACGTTCCCCGCCCCAGGGCCACATTGTGGAGGTCGCGACAAGTGCAAACTTGTTCCAACCTGTGTCGGAGCAGCAGGGGGCAGCGAGGGCAGGGGGTGGGGCCGGCGGCAGGGGCCGGGGGCCCAGGACTGAGGGCCGGGGGTGTGTGTCTCCGCATACATGAGCGGCGGGGGGCGGAGGGGAGCGTGTCCCCCCGCGTCCACAGCCCGCAGGCCTGGCCCGGGGTTGGGTTCCACCCCTCCGATGCCCGCCCGCCGGGGTCGGGGGTCGCCTCCTGCCCACCACCCCCCTGGCCTGGGCCCGCTCCCCCCACTCCAACCCCCGGGCTCTGGGGCGGCGGGGGTGGGGCGTCTCTGAAAGCAGGTGACTGTTTGGGGGGAACGCGGGGACAGAGCCCCCTTTGTGCCCGCCCAGGAGCTGCCTCAATGGAGCTGGCGGACACAAAGGGGCTTTGACAATGGGTGGACATTAGTATGCGAGGCCGCTCCCGGCCCAGGGTGGGAGCTGGGGGGCTGCCCAGGGAGGGGGGCAGGAGGTCTGGTGCGGGGGCTCCAGGGGGGGCACTGTGGGAGCGGGAGAGAGACCAGCCCGGGGTCCTGGGGCCAGCGGCCTTCCAGGCAGAAAGACCCCAGCACCCGGGACCAGGCAGGTGCACCCGAGAGGCGGCCGCAGTCCCGTCCATCCGGGGCGCTGGCCACAGGCAGACCCTCGGCCCCACCTCTGCTGGGGCTTTGGCACCACGGCCGGCCAGTGCCTCCAGGCCGAACTCAGGCTCTCCGGAGCCGCCTGCCTGGCCGCGGGCTGTGAGCACCTTCTCTGGAGCCCGCCACACCCTCCTTAGCTGGGCCCTTCCTTGCGGGGGAAAGCACCTGGGTATGTCCGAAGCCCATTGGCACAGGAGGAGGCCGAGCTGCCCTGTGGCACTCCTGAGTCCCTGCCCCGAGGGGCGTGGGGTGCACACAGCAGGGGGTCCAGGGGTCCCGCACTCAGCGGCCTGCAAACACTCCCATGGCCACGGGCAAAGGGACGGACCATGACCACAGCCATGGGAGATGAGTCCACTGTGACCACAGCGACGGCACACGGGTCCACTGTGACCATACCCACCGCAGACGGGTCCACTGAAACCACCGTCATGGGCAGAGGGGTCCACGGCAACTGATCCCATGGCCACGGGCCCACGGGTCCAACTGCTGTGCTCTAGCGTCGGAAGCCTCGTGCTATGCTCCGTGGGGGCTGAGACCCCCCGCACTCCAAGGGGCGGGGAGCGAGCTGTCAAAGGCGCGGCTCCTGCCTGAAGTCCCACGTTCCCTCTGAGACACGGTACGTGGTAGGCCACTGAATCCAGACGTTCCAAAGCCTCCCTCAGTCGGGGCGGGGGGGTGGGGATGGTCACACAGCCTGACACCCGTTTCCCGAGACAAAGCAATGGGGCCGCCCACAGATGCCAGCGCTCTCGGGGCCTCTGTAACATGGAGGAGTGGACAGAGGCCTGAGGCAGCCAGCACAGGGGTCCCATAGGTGGCCGTGGAGGAGGGGGGGAAGGGGACCCCCGTCACCTCCAACAGTGTCAGGCAGAGTCACAGTCACACATGGGGACAAGAACGGGCTAGAAAATGAGGCATCTGGAAAGGGGTCGTGATTACGGTGGGGGCTCTGGAAGGTCTCCCAACAGGGCTGGAGATGAGGCGTGTGTGTGTGTGTGTGTGTGTGTGTGAGTGTGTGTGTGTGTGTGTGTGGAGACCCACAGGAGCGCAGGGCTGGACAGGGACAAGGCACCGGGAGCTGTCCAGCCGCCCCAGGGACTCCCAGGGCAGCAGAGAGGGGACAAGGAAAGAGTCAGGGGTCAAGGGGGTCAGGGATGGGGAGGAGAGTCACGGAACCCAAAACTGTGCGGGCTGGGGGGGGCTTGAGGTGGGTGGGTGGGAGTCGCAGATGTGACTGGGATGGGGTCATGGGCATGGCTGGGGAGGGGCCCGAGGGGGTCAGGAGGGGCCAGGGTTGCAGACACACACAGCTGGGGCCGGAGGGTGTGCCTTGCAGGGAGCCGGAGGCCGGTTCTCAGGGGTCCCACGCAGACTGAGGACCAGTGGGAAGATGGCCGTGATCGGAGGCCTGAGCTGGGCGGTCGTGGGCCTGGGGCAGCTGCTTGGTCACCCCTGGCAGCCCTCATCCCGGCCAGTGGCCGACCCAGTAATGAGCCATGATCTGGCACCACGGGCTAAGCTGAGGGTTCACAGGCAGGGCCCCCGAATTCCATCCCGGCCACCACACATCCCCCCAGCAGAGCCTGGGGTGCCCCTTGGGCACAGTCCGCAGTGACCCCAGCACCTCCTGGGGTGACCCTCAGTACTTCCAGGAGTGAGCCCTGAGCCCTGAGCCTGGAGTAGCCCTTAACATGGCCTGGGTGGCCCCAACCACAGGAAACAGCCGTCCACTACGGGGGCTGGCCAGGTCAGGGCCCCCGACCCGCACGTGTCCAGCGCTTGGGGAGGGGTGGGAGGTGCTGTGCCTCCTACCCCACCCCGCCCTGCACCCCCCCTCCTCTGCAGTAACCCGCTCCCTGCCGTGCCGTGGGGCGCAGCCTCCAGCCGTCAGCGGCCACACACCTGAGCGGTGCCCGGCCGGCCCAGAGGCAGCCTCGGGCCTGGTCTCCGCATTCCAGAGCCGCCCCCACCCGCCCGCCTGGACACCCAGGGCCACTTTCCCACAATGCCGTTCTCTTTGCCCTTTCCAGGGTCGCGGGGGAGGGGACGGAGAGGGCCCCACTGGCCCCCACGCGTGGGCGAGGCTGCAGGGGCCCGCTCCCTCCCACCCCTCGGCCTTCCCCAGTGCCCCGCTGCCTGGGATGGCCAGCCCGGCTGGACAGCACCCGACAGGGCTGCCCGGGGGAGAATCGAGGCCAGGGTGGCGGGTGTGGACGGGCTCCTTCGCTCCCGATAAGTGGGAAGGTCGAGGGGTCTGGCGGTCACCTGTGCAGGCACGCCGTGCTCCCGGCAAGCCTGGGGGGACCCTCGGAGCCTGTCGGGAGTGCCAGGGGGCCCAGACCCAGAGCCCCACACAGACGTGTGTCCGTGGCACTGCAGGCCGGGGGGTGCCCACCCCTCCCCTGGGAGCGGGGGTCCGCACAGAGCCTCCCGGGGGAGCAGGTGCCATCCGATATCCGCTGGGCACACTGGCAGCCCAGGCTGGGGGGCTGGGAGATGGCTCGGGAAACAGCAGCGCCTTTGAGGCCCAGCTTGGCACGGGCTCTGGGAGGCCGGCCCGGCCCGGATCACCCCCGCCCGCCCGCGCCACCGCCACCGAAGCCGGGGGCAGGGAAGGAGGCGGTTGGCAATGCCCGGACCATGCCGAGTGGCTCTGCTGAACCCAGGGCGGCCTCAGTCCTGGCAGGAACCCCCCCTCCCGCCTCCCGCCCTCATTTCCTCTCCCTGGAGACCCAGCGGGGGGCCGGGATCCTTCCGCGAAGGCCCCAGCCCCTCGGCCTGGCCATGCCCACCACAGGGGCACCGGGAGCCCCTTGGAGCTCTGGGGGTGGGGGGGTGACGCAGGCCAGGGGTCAGGGCGCTGCTGGCTGCCGTGCTACCCACGCCCATGCAGGTCCCCCAAAGGCCAGTGGCAGGTCTTGAAGTACGCCAAACCTCCAACACCCCACCCTGCTCCGGCACCCCACCCGTCGCCCCCCGCCTGCACCCTTCTCCCCAGCTTTTCTGACCCACACCCCCTCTGCAGCCCCCTTTCCCCAGACTGGAGGGGGAGAGCCCAGTTAGACTCTGCGGGGCCAGTAGGGCCCAAGCTGGCCCCCTCCCTGGTGAGGACCCCACCCGGGCTGGGGTCCTCAGTCACCAGGTGGGCCCGGCTCCCACCCGCGTCAACCCCGGCCTTGCTCGGGCGGGGAGAGGGTGGGGGTTGGGGGGCGTCCTGGGGGGCGTCATCGGTGACCGTCGGGGGTCGGGGGGTGGGGGGGGGGGGACGCGGGAGTGCCCCTGCGCAAAGACCCTCCTCCTCGGGAAGGCCCGCAGCCCCCGAGGGCCCCCGGCCGGGGTTTACCTTGGGTCCGGGCGGGGTGGGCCCTGGGCGGGCAGCGAGCGGGTCGGAAGGGCAGACGGGGCGGGCAGGGGCGCACAGCGGAGCGGAGCGCGGCGAGGCGAGGCGAGGCGAGGCGGCGGGCCGGGGCTCTTAAGCGCCAAGTGGGATCAGATAAGGGCTGGGCCGGGGCCGGGGCCGGGGTCGAGCCGGCCGGGGGCAGAGCTGGGCCGGGCCGGGCCGCCCCCTCCCTCCGCGGCCGGAGCCAAACTCCGTGTGAATGGAGGGAGCGGCGGGCCCGGCGGGGGCGGGGCGCGCGGCGGCCAATGGGCGCGCGGAGCGCCAGGCCCGGCGCGCGGGATTGGCGGGCGCGGCGCGGGGGGCGGGGCCCGGCGCGCGGCCCGGGCGCGGCGGGCGCATCCCCCGGCGCGGACCTCCGGGACGCGGAGATGCGGGGCTGGACCACCGGGCGCGCGGGGATGGGACAAGACCCGGGCGGGCGGGCGGGCGCGGACACGGCGGGGCTGACTCCGAGGAGGAAGGGGCGCCGGGGTGCAGCCCGGTGGGGGTCCCGGGGGGCCTTGCTTTGGTCGGGATCGCCCTGGGCATCTGCCGGCTCGGCGGGGTGGCGGGAGGGACGCGGCGGGCGCTCGGCCTGGGACCCCCGCTCGCCGCCGTCGCTGGCACCTGTGGAGTCATTATCATGCAGACTTTCCGTGGGGGGCAGGTAAGCCAGCCCTGCCCGGCGCACTGGGGCAGCAAGGAACCTCTGCTCCCCACTCACTCCCACTCCTAACCGTAACCGCCCCGGCGGGGGTCGCATCTGCAGAACAGAGCCAAGAGTGGTCCAGCCTTGGGACCACTTGCGCGCGCCTTTCAGGGGGGCACCAGGCTCAAGGTCAGGCTCCCCGCTGGCGGGGGTGACCGGGCATAGGCGCAGTTTTCCTAGGTGGGCCTGGAGGAGCGCGGGACACGGCCCAGTGACCTCTCTGCCTCTGCCCGGCACCCCCAGGCTCCAACACCAGCTCCCGCTGTGAGCTCGCCAGCGGGTGCCCCCTCCAGACACCCTGCCCCAGTGCCCTCCCTGAGCCCCACCCCCGTGCCAGTGCCCTCCCGGACACTTCCCGACTCACTGGACAGGCCCCGCGCTGAGGTCAGCATCTTGCCCCGAACCTCGTGACTTCCTCGCTTCCGACTCTCCTGGCCCGCCAGGCCCAAAGGGGGGATGCTGGCGTTTCCGCCGCTCTGCCACGCGCCCCATCCCTGGCACGGGCTCCTGGCCCTCAGGGGTGTTCTGTTCCCCACCCGGTTCTCGCAGGAGCAGGGAGGCCCAGGACCGGACAGCGCTGTCCAGGTCAGGGGGCTCAGCCTGATCGCACTGATTGCGGAAGGTTTGTCCTTCCGGCAAACCCAGGACCCTGGGGGTCCTCCTGGGGCAAGGAGGGATGGACGGGTCAGTGGTGAGGAAGGGAAGTTCCTCCATCCCTGCCACTGTGCCCGCAGATGTCTGGCCCCACAATCTGCCTTCAGGTACCACAGCGGTGAGCAAGCAGGGTGCCAGAAAGAAATCAGGGGAAATTAAGGCGCACAGGGAGTGATCCCTGAGCACAGGGAATGATCCCACAGGGAGTGATCCCTGAGCACAGCCAGGTCTGAGCCAAGAGAAGCCCCCCAAAAAATGAGTATAACTAAAACATCAGGAGGCTTGGAGCGATAGCACAGTGGGTAGGGTGTTTGCCTTGCACACGGCCGACCTGGGTTCGATTCCCAGCATCCCATAGGGTCCCCCGAGCACCGCCAGGAGTGATTCCTGAGTGCAGAGCCAGGAGGAACCCCTGTGCATCGCCGGGTGTGACCCAAAAAGCAAAAAAAAAAGTAAAAAATAATAATAAAACATCATCACCCCAGCTGTGAATGTCACGGCACAGCCTCACGAGAATGGTCAGGGAGGGATTTTCTCGGGGACCCTCTCCTCCTACCAGGAAGTGGAAGGATGGGGAGGTTCTGCCCTTAGACTGAGAATGAGCTGGGACCCGCTGTTGCACAAACAGCTGGGGGGTGCGTCGGGGGCTTCTGCTCCTCCCACTCAGTGCAAATCGCTGGAAGGCCACGGGACCGGTGGGTCTGTGGGTCCCAGGAGCAGCTGACCTCTGTGGCTTGGCCACATGCTTTCTCTCTCTCTCTCTCTCTCTCTCTCTCTCTCTCTCTCTCTCTCTCTCTCTGCTCTGAGTCTCCGAGAACTTCCACACCCCCCTCCTTCTCCTCCTACCCCCTACCCCCTGCCCCCTGCCCCATTTCCTCTCCCACCTCCAAGCTGCTCTGGCCTGAGCAGTCTCAGGATGCAGCTCGGGGAAAGGTCCGGAAGGGAGGCCTCAAGGCGGCCATGGACAGTGGCACGGTTTGTACACTGCACAAAGGAGCCTGCCTGGGGTCAACTGAGGATCCCGCCGCAAGCCACCGGCCGGTCCTCGCGGCCACCCTGGGGCTGCCTCTGCCTACTCCCCCAAAGGCTCCCCCAAAGGCTCGCCAGGGCACTTGGACAAGGGACACACGTGTGCAGAGGAAGCGCCTCCCCGCTTCTTCACAGGGTCTCCCGAGACCGGCCGTGCCCTCCTGCCCACACCGTCTCCCGCTGCAGCCACGGTGACGGGCGCCGGCCCTGGGTCCCCGTCACGCTGCTGCCTTATCTCCAGACGCTGGCACGGGGGCGGTTCTCTGCCTGGGAGCTTGCGCTGGCTGGGGGCAAGATCAGAGACACACAAGGAGCCAGATGAGATTCACATCCAGGGGTGCCTGGAGCCACCGAGCCACCCCTGCGGGCACAGCTGCGGTCTCGCTGCCCGCGGGGCCCCTCCTGCAGGCCGACGGCCCCTTCCCAGGCCCCTTGGCACCTGGGCGTCCACGTGAGTGGCCCGCTGGCAGGACGCGGAGGACAGACGAGCGGGCTCTGGGCTCGGGTGACAGGCGGGCCCGGAGACAGGGAGGCTGAGCGGCCTTTAACAGCCGACCTGATGCTAATCTCGGGCTGAAAACCCGATATTTCCACTTGGAACAAGAACGTGGGCAGAGGGCGGGGGCGGAGGGCGGCGTGGCAGGGGCGCCCCCTGCAGGCCCCCTGAGGCTGCACAGGCAGGAAGAGCCTGGGATGAAGATGGGGGGGGAGCAGGGAGGGGGGCCGGGGAGGGAGGAAGAGTGGGGGGGAGGAGGAGGAGGAGCAGAGTGAGAAGGTGGTAGAGGTGAAGAAAGAAACGAGTAAGAGGGGGCTGGAGCCATAGTACAGCGGGGGAAGGCGCTGGCTGTGTGTGCGGGCCGACCTGGGTTCGAGCCCTGGCACCCCATATGGTCCCCCGAGCCTGCCAGGAGAGATTCCTGAGCACCGAGCCAGGAGTCAGCCTTGAGCATTGCGGGGTGTGGCCAAAAAAAGACAAATGACTAAGAGGCAGAGCAGAAGGAGGACAGAGAGGAGAGGGAGGAGTAGGAGGAAGAGGAGGAAGGGGAGGAGGAGGAGGAGGAGCACGTAGAGATCACAGGTGCTCCGGCCCCAGAGAGGGGCACCCACCACCTGCACCATCTCCTGACGGTGCTCCCAGCCCTGGCACTGTGCTGATTCTCCCCGGCAGGGTGGGGGAAGCCGCCTGTCCGTGTGGCCGAAGCGACCAGAGCTGCCCGGAAACCGGGTCCCTGCCCGCCCCGGTCCCATCTGCTGCCCTGCCGTCTCTCCTGTCCCCGTGTCCACTTCCCTCTGGTTCCCGCTCAGAGGAGGGCAGATGAGGCCTCGGGCGCAGTGATAAAGCCCCACGCCTGCGGGTGTCTCTGCGCCCAGTCGGTTCCCTCCCTGAGGGCCACCACAGGCCCTCCGCTCGGACTCTCAGGGACGGTCTCCACGCCTCACATCTGCGGCCAGCTTGCCCAGTTCCTGATGAGACGCGGCCCCCCTCGCCTGCCCCCGGGGCTGGAGAAGGGGGCGTCCCTTTGCTCACTGGCCAGCCCCTCTGGAAGTGGGCAGCTGCCAGCCCTACTGTGGCCCCCCCAGCAGACCGAGTGCCTGGTTCCCACATCTTTCCCTGAGCAGGGGAGGAGACCCTGGAGGTCAGCGGCTTCCTCCTCCTCCTCCTCCTCTTCCAGGGGGCAGCGGGGCGGGCAGCTTGGAGCTGTCCAGGAGACACTCAAGCTAAAAATAGCCACGCGCGTGGATCCGCCTCGAGTGGGACCGCGGGAGGGGTGGGATGGTCCGGCACTGTCGCCAGCCCGGTTGCCGTGGAAACGGGAGGGAGCAGGGAAGCCTGGGAAATAAGGATGACACAGATAGCTAGGCAGAGAGCCGCCCGCCTGCCAGGGGCAGGAGACACAGCCTGCGGCTCCACACCGGGGCCAGGGGGCGGTGCCGGGGCATGGACGCCACCCCCCGGGGGTCCCCGCCAACGGCCACCCTCCTCTACGCACGCTGTGAGTCGCTTGCGGGGAACTTGGGCTGGAGCCGCTGCCCCTGGGGCGAGCTGGATCTGGGGGAGCTGGTTTCCCGAGGGCCCTTTTCCTAGGTCCCTTCCAGGGGTGCGGCTGCTGCAGACGAGGGGGCCAGGGAGCTCTGGGGTCTCCAGGACACGGGAGGAGTGGGGTTAGGCCAGGCAGGAAACAAGCCAGGCGCTGGTAGGAAGCGAGGACCCTCCCTCTCTCCCCTGGGAGAGTCAGCGTGGCCTGGGGACACGGGATAGGGCAGCCGCCCGGCCAGACCCCAAGAAGACATGCAGGAGCGCCCCTGGGCTCAGCCAGCCGGAGTGGACACTCAGCACCTAGTCTGCAGCCTGGGGCTGGGCCCAAATGCCGAGGCCATGGACGGGGGAGACCTGAACCCTCTGACCTCTCCTGGGACCCGTTCTGCGGCCATGGCCCCCCCCGCAGCTGGCATACACGAGACACATTTTCTGCAGAACCTCGATTCTGCAGTGCCGAGTTTGGGGTCCCAGCCTGCCTGTGTGTCTCCCAGAACCTGGGGAAAGGCCCAGGACGGCAGGAGCACGGGGGTGGGGGCTTCCTGTCACCCCTCCAGCGCCAGCCTGGATCACAGGGAGAAGGGAGAGAGGGCTGGGAGCTGTGCCAAGGCCCAGGTTCCCAGGGCAGA